TCCTCTTCAATCAATAGTCTATATAGCCTCCAGAGGCAGGAAAACAGTTGCTCACACAGCCCACACTGACTCCTGGGCATTTCATAATATTGTTTTCAAAATAAAATACACCATACATGCATACTGGGATTGAACAAATTAGTGAATGTGAGGTAGATGGTGAGAATCATATTCCTTACTGTTGGAGTGGGAACTTACAGATAAGCAGAGAAAGAAGCTAAAATAAACTGTATGATACTGAATTAGAGTTGAAGACATCAGTATGAACTCTTGTTTAGCCTAACACAGGTATGGGTGGATAATTATTGAAATAATTATAGTATGTGTGTATACGTTTGTTAGTATGCACACGTATATTTCCAAGCTCCATTCATTGAGGAGGCCTAGAAGCCATGACACTCCGGTAGCAATGGGCACAACCAGCACCCAGATCTTGGTTTATAATACAGTTTTCCAATAAGAGAAACCAGGGATCACTAGACAAATGGCTGAACTAGGTCTGGGGCAGACAATATCCAAAATGAGCCTGAAGTATCTTATAGTGCCAGAAAGCCAAGGAAGTGCTCAAAAAAGAATCCAATGGGGTGATGCCAAAGGGACACAGGAGCTCTTTTACCTGAAAGAGTTCCCAAAGCCAGAACAATATGAACAACAAAATGAAGAACATGACATTGGATTATAAACTAAAATATAAATCATAGATATCCAATACCCATGAGTCCATACTGACATAAATAAATGATTGAGTAAGTTAAAAAATGTAGAGGCAAACAAATCTCTCATACAAAAGAATTCCAAATTGGTTAAGCAGACACCGCCCTCTCAGGGAGGGAGAGTGTAACTTCCTACCCTTGGCTGCTCATAGTAACTTCCTTCCAAAGAGAGGAGTATGGCAAGAGAAAGAAAAAGCATAACTCTACAGTGGAGGCAAACACTGCCTCAGCCAGATGATCAAGGTCACCATCAACAGTGATGTCATGTTGACAGTATGCACCCTTGATATGATGAGATGAGAATGGCACTTCACACCTGTGATTCTCCTCCTAAAAATCCATACTCTCATTCTAATCACGAGGAAAAACACCAGACAAATCCCAACCGAGAACCATTCTGCAAAATACCTGACCAGTACTCCTCAAAACTGTCAAGGTCATCAAAAATAAGGTGCGTCTAAGATGCTGTCTCAGTCAAGAGGAGACTGAACGCAATGTGGTGTCCTGGATGAGATCCTGGAACACAAAAAGACATTAGGTAAAAATTAAGGAGACCTGAATAAAGTATAGCTATGAACCTTAGTTAATAATAATGTATAAATATTGATGTGTTAATTGTAACAAAGGTACCACACTAATGTAGGATCTGAACAACAGCGAAACTGGATGCAGGGAAGGTGGAAAATTCTCTGTACTATCTTTGCAACTTTTCTGTAAATCTAAAACTATTCTAAATAAAAAGTCTATTTAAAAAAGAATAAAGTACACCCCAAATGTAAGCTGCCACTAACATTTATTGAACTAAATATGAATTAAATATGTCACCTGTGATATCATCTATAATCCTCTCCACAGTCTCATGAAGCAGGTACTATTATTTGCCTAATTTTTAGATGAAAAAACAAGGCATAGGAAGGCACAGAAATCTGAAAAGATCACAGAGTTATCAGATTTGAAATAGGATTTCATCTAACAGGGGTCTGAATCTAAACCCACCCTGTTAAGGAAGATTTGGCTTAGGATCATTGCAGATGTGTGTAAAAACCGAATATGATTTTTTTAGAATAAATAATACATTTGCCTGAAAATTAAAAATCAGTTAATCCAATAGGTTGTAATACCAAAAAACTGTCTCAATCTAAACAATCTGTGTTTCTACTTATTTCTTTGCTTCCTTTCAGACGTCTCTGTTTACGCCACCAGTGAAACACAATGGCTTAAGTTCACATTCATCATCCCTTCTCTCTCTCCTCCTTATTCAGACACGATTTTATTTTTCATGCTACTATTGACTACCTCTATAACTTTACATTTCTTCATCTGCCAAATTTAGGCAATATTTCTTAACTTCCCACTGAATAAGAGAAGAAGTTAGCACCAAATAATTTCTTTCACCTTGGGGGGATTTTAATATTTTATTTGTAACAGCTTTAGAGGAATAAATAAAATCAAGGACTTTTTATTACTATTTGGGCTATATCATGAAGTATGCAATATCTAGTGACAAAATGTGGTCTGTCAGACTTTGTAAACTGAGAGCTGCTGAAAATGCGTTAGACTTAGCAGGTGGGCTAGGCCCGCCTCACTGGGGTTGCCCCTGGGTCCAGGCTGACGAGGGTCATGCGTGTCCTGACTGGAGATCCAGGAAGAGCTGGGCACTCTGAGGCACGGGCTGACCTGGCGTGAGGTCACTGAGCCCAACTTCAGTTCCCGGAGAAGGACTTGCTTGCTGGAAGGCTGGAATTGGGACTTAAGAGAAGACAACGCGCTGTTGAAACCTTCACCCGAGGGTCTTTCAGAGTCCCTTGAGGAGCTCTTTTAAACATCTGGCAACTTTCTTTCATTCTTTTTACTTTATATATTCTTTATTTAATCTATATGATACTGAAAACAACATTTTTTAAAAAATTAGATAAGAGAGCATATTAAATATCAAATGCTCTGTCAAAATAAAATTTTTCTAGCTAGAAAATGTTAAACATGTATAAATATTTAACATTCATTAAAAGCACAGAGTTAGATTTATTCTAAAGAAAAAGTGGTTGTGCCGCTTACCTATTTTTGCTGTTCCTGTAAACTTTTAAGATTTTGCACAAAATGTGAAGTCCGCATTTTTCGTTATTGATTATCATAAAACAAAGGTATAATGTACCTACAATATTAAAATGAAACCACACTAAAGCCACACTAAGAAGGCATTTGTAATATTGACATTTCTGAAAAAAGACGTATTTAGAAAACGTGAAGATACCAAACGCAGACTTTTATGGAGAAAAACAATGATCGAATCACTAGTTTATTTTCAATGCAGCAATTTTGAAGTCAATTTGATACAGACTAGACAGTGTATCTATACAATAAAATGCAAGTTGAATAATCAGCACAGAGAATCTAAGCACTGGCTAAGGAAATCCCAATAAGCCAAAATATTACATAGTGCTTTTGTCAAAGAAAATTTGTTTATGTCAAAATTATTTTTAATCGTTGTTTGGTGGATACCTGTTTTCAGTAAAGAGAAGAAATAAAAAAAAATTGAAAAATAGATATTCTTAGACATTAAGTTTTACACAATCAACCAAACATTGATATTTTGCTTTTTTCTTAGAGAAAAATGAGATTTTTTCCCCAGAAATCTCTCACACAAACGTAGCTGAACATCTAAATCAAGAATATTTAAAAACCTATTGGTTAAATACGGACTTTAAAGCCATGGTGTACCAAAATTCATAAAATATGCTTTATATAATATAAAGCAACTTTTTCCCTTAAAGGGAGAATGTATCTACTGTTTTATTTAAAGCATAGATTTCATGAAAGTAAAATAGGTAGATAAGTTTCTCAGAAAGTGTTTCTTTTTGCAAAGTGGATTTTTCCTTTAGCTAGGGTAATTTTTTAATGTAGTACTCATTCCTGCCCTTGAATAAATGAAATCCTTTCCCCTCAAATGATTTTCTTAAATGGAGACATTTTAATTGCTCCCAAGATGTGATCTTCCTGGAAAGTCTGAAAAAAATCTTCATAGTCTTTGACAATTCCAGAATTCCAATTCTAAAAATTTATCTTAAGAAAATTACTAAAAACAATGAACGATGAGAATGTTTATTTTGCTGTTGTTTAGACAGCAAAAAAATAGAAGCAACGTAAGTGCCCAATATCAGGGAACCAGTTACACGAATCACAGTGTGTTCACGCGATAGAGCACAACAGTGTTGACCGATCTTTATCAGCATGGGAGGGTATTGACAATGATATTGTTAAGTAAAAAAGCAGGTTATAAGATATTCTGAAATAATCCCATTCTGTGATTTTTATAAAGTTTTGAACTTCATCTATGAAATTATTAGTAGTGATTATTTTTAGGTGGTAAGACATTTGGTTGGTCTTAATCATCTTCCTTATGCTTATCTACATTAACGCATCTCTATACAAGTATGCATCTTTTGTGTAATGAGAAAAATTACACATTTAAAATTATAATCATACATAATTATGCTATATCTATATGCCTATATATAGGTATATCATAAGAGAGACAAAATCAGGTCCCAGCCATCAGGAAGATTGCTAAACCCTGGAAATAGGCATCCTGTGTATTGGAAATTATAGACAGGCTGATACTCTGCTCTGAACCCAGGCAATATAACTATTTGATTGGGTACTTGCTTAAAAAAATATCTCCAGTGTCCTCCAGAAATGAGACTCAGCTAACATGTTTACATCGCGCTTGTATTGACAGGCAACCACGTTGAGCCTCAAGCACCTCCAGGCCCCTATCCTTTACCTCAGGTCCCCTCAACCCCAGGCAGATAGACCCTGAACTTGGGCCTAGACTATTTCCAGAGCAGCAATTCTTTGGTAGGTGGTGTTTTATCCCTTCAGTTCAGTAAACTCAGCTGGTCTGAGTTCTCATAAGGAATTGGGGGTATGAACTGTCCCACATTGTCATCTCATGCCTGGTAATTCAGCCAAATTGAAATTCATGCCAGTGGCAAGTACCTCACTTGTAATGCCTTCCTTTATGCCGTATCTTTCACCTGGAAGATTCTTCCTCCTCACTCCACTCCCAGCGGCAAAGCTGGCTTCTCTTTAAAGGCCCTGTTTAAATCCTATCTCCTCAGGAAGCCTGTTCTCCTCCCCTCAAGCGGCATGCTCTCTCTGTTCCAGAGAAACCGCCTTTGATCCACACCACCAGGATGAGTCTCACCCTGCTGTCCTTGACCTTTTCTACATTTTTTTCTCCTTTAAGTTCTTTCGGGCACAAAGTGAGAAAAAAAATAAGCATGTCAATCAGCTTAAAATTATATTTATTCATACACATATTTCAATCTAGAGTTCACATTGCTTCTCCCACTAGCTTGTAAGCTTTTCTAGAGCAGAGACAAGTCTCCCACTTACATCTGTGAACACAGAGCTCAGTACACAGCGGGGGCTCAACATATGTTTATTACACTGAAGCCTTCAGTGCTAGGATCATGATGTGACGTAGGTGGATGGCTGTGAGGATGCTGAGAACTCAGGCATAAGTCTCAAACCATCTGTCTCTTTGAAATGTCGTCGGCTGTCTTAGGAGGGAAGAAGAAGGGACAGCATCCACCTGAGGAGGTCTCAGCACGTCCAAGCAGACACTTCAAGTGTTCACAGCAGCCACGGCTCCAAAGGAAGCAGCTGTGCTGTTGCTGAGCTGAAGGGGTGGGTGGAAGACAGAAGCAGAAGTGCAGCATACTGTAGTTCTCTCCTCTTAATTGCTGGGGGCCAGGAGGTGTTTCTCCTCCCAAATGAGAAGGAGAGGACCTGAGCTTCTCTGCTTAATAAATGCACAAGACCCGGGTGGGGAGAGAGCAACTGTACCTGTGCTTCTCTCCTCTGGGACGGACACCTTAACACTCCTCCTCTTTGATGTGGTAGGTTGTGCCACCACTAAGGCAGCGGGGCTTTTGGTGAGCCCTCTCAGAGCGAGCTGGGCTCTGATCCCGGGGCCTTCGGGAACCAGAACCGCAGCTTCCTGAATGGGGAGCACAGCAAGGAGCAAAGCAGGAAGCCAGGGAAGGGCTTGGGCACTGGGGAGCGGCACACTGGGGAGCACCAGGAGGCTCCCAGGATTGCTGTTTCTGCTGTGACATCACTGGGCTAGCAGGTGGAAGCTGGAAGGGAAAAGAGCATTTGGTTAGATCAGGACCTTGGGTATATTTTTCACTTCTCCATGTGCTGGGGCTGACAAAATGGACCCTTAGCCTTTACAATCTGCTAAAATCCATCCCAGGAGGGGGAAAAAATGAATTTGAAAGGGCTAAAATCTGGATAGTAAATCATGGTGGGAACTCCCAGGGGACCTACTCACCAATAACCAAGCTAGTAACTTACTCTTCTTAAACAAGAAAAACAAACTACAACCCAGTTGAGCTGACAGCCCACTTTTCCCAGGCTAGTGTCCACCATGGTCAGGCTTAAAGGAGAACCAAGTCTCTGCTCTTTCTTCACTCAGTCTTCTTTTACCCTGAGATTCCTAAACCTGCATGCACCTTCTCTGCTTCTCTGACCCCCTAGCTTCTATGGCTTTCTCTCATGTTAGATCATTTGAGGTCTTTTGCAAGGAACCACTTCTTTTCCCTTCTCGCTGCCCCAAACCTCTCCTACTTAGCTTATCTATTATCCCTTGTTAAGAGACAAAAGGAGAGATCAGAGCTTCCTTAGCTGCATCTAAGTGAGGGACATCCAAGTCTCTCTCTACACATAAGTATCCTCACCCTATAGGAAGATGTGTGGGCAAGTCATCCCAGGAGGAGTCTGGAGGCCTTGTGGGGCTGGGAAGGAAGAGGCCTTTTATACATCCTCCAATTGAAGCCTCCAGGCTACCTGTTATTGGAGAGGAGCCATGGAGTGGATTATTTATCCGGATGTTTCATAATTCCTAGGGCTAGATTCCTCGCTTACACACAGCTGGGACATGGACCAAAAGGATTCCCATGTGAGTTAGTGACCAGAAGGCTGGAGCCTTCAGATGGCCTGAGTGAAGGTAGGTACACTGACTAAGTCTGGATTACATTCCTGGGGGCTGAATGAGGATACGACAGCTGTTGAGTTCTATCTAAGATTGGAGGAGAGGACCAAGTTCAATACTACCCAAGTCTGAGGAAGACCCTTCTGGTCCAGCCCCCACCCATCATCCATGACTTTCATCATCCAACTCAATGCCATCACCTCCACGGAGACTTGCCTGGTCTCCCGGTCACATCTGAATCCTTCTTCTTTTGAACTTCATAGAGACCCCTCACATCCTTTATAGCTGCTCAAAGTCAGGGTGACCTAAATACTTGTCCTATCTCCTCTATTAAACAGTTTCCTGATGACAGGGACCTTGTGTTTATCACTTCTGCATTCCTAGGGCCTGATACTGTCCCTGACATAAAGAAGATGCTCATTAATATTTGTCGAATGAAACAATCCATATGCCATTAGAATAGACTTTTTGTCTTGAGAAAACAAAAAATAGGAGGAAAACAAAATCCCACGCCTTTTTGTTTTGTGAATCAGTTCTCGACTTCTTGTGTTCACCCTCCTCACCTAAGGCCTTTGTGAACACCCTTTTATAAATAGTACAGAGAAATTGTGGGTGGACCTCACGTTACAGGACAGGCTGAGAATAATACGGAGAATAAAACATTCATAAACCCTGCTATCTCTTAAATGCGAAAGGAGAGCTGTTTGTAGTTATCAAGGGACCCCATGGAAAAACTTTCCACAGGGTGAAAAGTTTTCCTTCACCTTTCATGAAAATTAACATGAGCACATGTTGGCTGTGCTTACAGTGGAAACACTCTCATCTGAATATAGTTCCTCATCTCTGGATGCTTCCATCTCAGAACTGCTGCTGATATGCACAGCTAAGTAAAAAGGCACTGATGAAACTCTCTGATGGCAGGGATAGTGTCTCGCCTGCCTCTCTGTTCCCAATGCCTGACATACAGTAGGGACTCAGGAAACAGTGGAGTAAATGAAAAAGAAGAGCAATTACAAGGGATATTCTGATTAGATGGGCTGTCCTCAAAGGCTTTAAATCATATATAAGACAAAGGTAAGCAGGGTTGGGGTGTGGGACGAGGGATAAGTACATAACCAGGGTGGGGAACAGGACAAGGCCAGAAGAGGAGCAGCTGTTGGAACCCCAAATCCAGCAGGACAGGATTGTCAGGGCTTGCCTTCTTCATCTGGGAATGCACTCGTCGTGGGGCGGGGAGGCGGGGGGCAGGTAAGCTTTGACATGCAGTTTGGATGAAGGGAGAGAAAAGTTCTTATGAGTGAAACAGAAGGTGAGAGAATGGTATGAAGCCTATCTCACCCCATTAGAACAGGACCATGGAGAGAGAGCATCTGACTTATGGCCTCAGAGATCAGACTCCTTCTTCTCTCCCTTCCTCCTTCTTCTTCTCTCTTCTTCTTCTTCCTCCTCCTCTTCTACTCCCCCTCAGGTATCAGAAAAAATTCTAACTACTTCTCAGGAAGGCTTCACATATACTAAGCATTAGTGGGAGGTCAAGTACCTCTGGTCTCAACATACCAGTTGTTCCTTTTCCCCACCCACACCCACATCATATAAACCCATGCTCCTGAGACCTCACACATCACAAATGCATTTCCCTGAGGTTAACTAACAACTACCCAAACTCTACTGCCCCTCCCTAAGGGCTGAGGGTTCTCCTTGGAGTCTCTTCCCTGGGTGAACCAAGCTTTCTGTTTCCTCTCCAACTCCCCCAGATCACTCCTTATGATAATTGCCCACAGAAATCTCTAAGTCCAGTCACTTCCAGTACAATGAATTTCATCACATATAGGATGGTGTTGGTGATCCGCTCCACCAGGATTAGCACTTTCAGTGGAGAAGATCAGTATTTACCTTTGCCCATTCCCTAAAGTAGGCCTTCCTGAGCTGTCCTGTGCCCCCACTAGATTTACAAGTCCAGCCAGTTCCAAGTCAGAACCCCAGAAATTTACTATTCTCCTTCTAGTCCCACTTGATCTCTATTCCAGGTTCAGTTGTATCTATGAGTATAATTCTATGATTTGATATTTATTAAGCACCTACCATGTGCTGGATACAGGAAGCAATAAGAAACCCATCCCATGCCTCAAAGCTTTAACTCTAGAGATAATGTAGACACATTAATAGATAACACAGGACAATAAGTTAAATACAGGCAAACAGAGAGGCAGGCGAATTCTGGGTATGGGTTGAGAATGGAACTAGTCAGCCTAAATTTACCAAAATAGAATGATAGTGTTTTGAATATGTGGCTCCCATTGTTATTAGCACCCCATCCTGGTCTGGGAACAGGAGGTCATCCCTGAGAAATACCCATCTCTTCTCATTCCCAGTCCCTATTTGTGACACTATTTCTTGGAGCAATAGATGTCTCCTCTCTTTCTTTCTTCCATTCTTAGTGAAAAATTTGCTAGAAGAGCACAACAGTATATTTGAACTGGTAGAAAGGAGACTCAGAAAACTTGAGATAGAGTCATAGACAAAAAATGAATGATAAAAAGTGAACAGAGTCTCAGAAAAATTAAGCTCACCAACATATATGTAATGTGGGTATCAGAAGGAAAGGAGAGAGAAGGAAGCAGAAAAAGTATTCAAAAATAATGGCTGAAAATTCCCCAAATTTGGTGAAAACCAATCTATACATTCAAAAAGGTCAACAAAATCAAAGTAGGATAAACACAGAGGTCCACATCCAGACACATTCCAGTAAAAGTGTTGAAAGAAAGGATGAAGAGAAACTCTTGAAAATAGCAAGAGAAAAGTGACTCATCACAAGGGACCATAATACTATTAACAAATGACATAAACAACAATGGAGACCAGCAGGCATAGGAATGACATTTTTAAATGCTAAAAAGAAAAAAAAAAAGTGTTAACTAAGAATACACATAAATATCAATGAAAGAGAATTGGGAGTCCAGAAAGAAATACATCAATATATGGTCAATTGATTTTTGAGAAGGTATCAAGACATTTCACTGAGGAAATAAGTCTTTTCAACAAATGGTGCTAGGACAACTATATATCCACATATAGAAGAACGAAGTTGACTCTTACCTACAACATTCTAAAAAATAACTCAAAATGGATCAAAAACCTAACTGAGATGCTAAAACTATAAAACTCTTAGAAGAAAATATACAAGAAACTCTTCACAATCTGTAGGGAAACAACCTCTGCTTTCATGAAACTTGAGTGTAAGATGGATATACAGCACCTGTCTTTAGGAGGCATCTAGTCTAAGAGGGGAGAGGGAGCCTCGACTGCAGGGTGAACCTGGTCTCAACTGAAACATCACACTTCTGAGGGATATAGGCTCCTTTTGTCTGAGAATTCCTATTTAGACAGCACGGTGGTCATCTGTCACTTTGGCCAGCAATCAACTCTATGCTTGTTAGCATGACAGTTGACATTTTTTGGAGAGGACCCCCAAATATGCGTAGTGTTTGAGCTCTCTCTTCTTACTTGAAACCAGAGGGAATGTATTCCTCTTCTAGCTTCCTGGACTAGCCAAAGGGCAGGCACATGCTGAGAATCACTGTCTGTAACGATCCTTATGGAACTTTGAATCTTAAGTGACTGACTAAAGACACAGGGACATCTAGAGGTCGTATTAATCACAGCAGTTGTGAGGTGTGAACCACACTATCCCTGTCATGTGTTCCTGCCGTCTGCTCCACCAGACACCTGTGCTTTTTTAATGGACTAAAACATAAATTCAAGGTGTTAGCTATTTATCTAGTTCATAATAAGACTATCAAGACATAGTAAACTCAAAGTAAAATTAACAATGATTAAAAATCACAAGAAATTTGTAATTGAAAATAATTTTAATGAAAAATCAAGATTTCTTTACAAAGTATAGAGATGAACTATTTGATTTGGGACTCAGGGAGAGAAAAGAGAGAAGTGACTGATTTTTCTTTTAAGTCTCTGATTCCTTTTATAGGCATTTTCACTTTTTACCATCTTTGCCACATGCTAAATGGGCGTTTCTGGTTAGAGTTAACTAAGATTCATGGTTTATTTGCAGAGATCTCATGTATAATTTTCTGAACAATGTTTTTGGGCTGAAAAAGACAGAAAGTTGGGGGTGAGTTGGGGCAGTATCACAAAGAGAAGGTGGGAGGACTACACATCTGTCTCCCTGCCTTGCCCGGGACGGGGTGGGACCCTGAAGAAAGTCCAAAGTCCAAGGCACTGTGTTCATGAGACATCAGGAGGCTGTGCTCTAGCAGACCTACATAGGATTCATCCGAGAGAAGGTGTCAGAGGAAAGGCAGAGCCACTTTCCCCCCCCGCCCCAAATATCTGATTCTATTGATTCCTGCAAGAGAATGGATAGCAGTGAGAAGAATATTAGGATGCAAGCAGACAAGGACGAGTCTAGAACAAGATGGTGAGCAGATTCCTTGTTTTATTGATTCATTTGAGGTTGCAGATTGCAAGGCAACTGGCTGAGGAGGGAGTTAGAGTCTGCGGTCTGGGGTCCCACGGGAGACAACACAGTTGATGTCAGAGGTCAGCAGATAGAGTTCTGGGAGAGGATTCAGGCTTCTGAATCCTGGGGCAGAGAGACCCTCTAGCCGAGAGCTCAGAACCTGTAATGGGACATCTCCGCCACTCAGGCAAGCCCAGGAGGAGCAGGGGGAGGAGGAAGTGTTTGGCCATTTGTTGTCTCTAAGTTAGCTCTTCTTGGCTCAGGGTCCACTTCAGCAGCAGCCTCCAGAGGACTGCCCACTCCCCCCTCCGCAGCAGCTGGAGCCCCCCGAGGGCTGGCTGCAGCAGTCAGAGC